GCTGTTTTCCCGTTTTACTTTAACCCAAAGACTTTAAATGGTTCTGTCTTCATTCTGTATCTCAGTACAGGTGCATGCATCTTTAAAAGAAAAGGTGATACTGCCAATTTTTACTTTTGCCTGTCTTTCCTAAACCAGTTATACCCTTCCATAACGATCTTCCACTCATGCAAACTATCCTAAATCTCAATAATCCCTATTATACCTCAATTGCATGTGTGCTCTTCCTGCTTTTTCTTCACACTACATGAATTAGTATAGAAGCATCTTAGTGGTGGATTGCCCTGATAGTTATGCATATTGCATCCTTTTCCTTGGCCTTTATCCAGTGTACCTTGCTCTTTACTTTACTTTGTTGCAGTTACGTGCTGGCTTCTTATTCACGCAACGTCTTACTCTTTTGCCATGTTCCCTTTAGTAAGGTAAGAAATGGAACTTATAAGCTCTCTCCTCCTGCCGTTTTACATTTTTGGGGAGCTACACAAATATTACCATGTTTACTTGATTCCAAAATGAGATTTTTCCTACCCCTATATAGCATGTGGGGAGGGGACAGGACCCTTGTCTTTGAATCTAGTACAAGGTGGCAGGGGAACAGGCAGCTGCTGAAGCCCTGACCCATCCCCCACCTATAGGGCTAGAGCTGCAGCTGCTGCCTGTTCCCCCACCGCCTCTCTCTTCCCATCTAGGTTTAATATACATAACCCAAATTTGTTGAACTTTAGGACATATTTAAAGGCCTATCAGCTTCCTCAAGCTTTCCTTGAGGTCTAATGTGAATGTTCAGTAAGAAAGAAGGTCTTCATATGGATATGGAGAACACGTGTGCATGTGTGTGTGAGCATGCGCACACACATGTTTTAAGAAAACATATATGCACTAGGGGTATGCAAAGCAGGCCCGATTTGATTCGGACCGAATCAGGGACAGCGATTTGATTCGTTGACTTGAATCACTGTCCCCGATTCAATTCGGCCGAATCCAAATCTGAAGATTTAATACTGATTCAAGAATCAGCGATTCAAACATTGACACCGCTTTAAATGTTTTTTGTACATACCTTGAGGTACCCGTGCAGCTTGTGAACACTGCAATGCTGGGGTGTATGGAGCATCCCACAGGAGTGCGGGGGGCCCTGCACGTGCTCAGTGGCAAACCCAGAAGTGGACCGGAAGTACTTGCAATACACTTACAGGTCTGGCGGGGAGCATGCAAGGGGCCCCCCTGCCCCGGGATGGGCTGTGGGGAGCACCTGGGGTCTCCCCACAGACCCAGGAGGCACCAGTCGCAGAGCCACAGGGGGGGCACACGCTCCCCCGTGGACCTGGAAGTGCTTTTGGTCCACTTCCGGGTCTGCTGCCAGGCACACTGGGAGTCCCCCGTGCTTCTGTGGGACACTTCATGCGCCCCAGCATCGCACCATTCACGACAAGCCTGCTACCTAGAGGTACATAGAAAAAATATTTAAAGCTGCGTCTATGTCCAAATCACCGAATCTCTCCGAATCAATTTGGAAGGTTCCAATTTGATTCGGAAAGATTAAATGGTCCTCTGATTCGATTCGGATTCAGATTCAATCTCTGCTATGTCGAATCAGGGACCGAAGCTTCGCGCAGCCCTAATATGCACCTAGAGTGGCCACTGAATAAATCTCTTACTTAAATGTAATGCTCGCAATGTGCAGCTGTATTAGTGATGACTTAAGCTATCTTTAAATAAAGTACTGAAACATGATTCCAGTGGGATCATTCCTATCCTTTACGGTATCATGTGATGCATTACTACACATGACCCAGAAATGGGAAGAAAATCTTTAAGAGATTGACCTTCATAGAACTCTCTCATGTTTCACCCTCTCTATATATTAACATCATACAGGAACTTGCAAATTCTGGAAAACACAAGTTTTTTGAATTTCAAAGTAATAATTATACAACCGGTACTTCGGTCATTAGCTGTAAAGAAGTGACAAGAGCAGCAACTAAACAAAGCCTTTGATTTAAGGCATTTGACTTGCATATTTCACATGGGTTTTTTTAATTTAGTTTCAATAGAAAAAAAACACGCATTTAACCAAGTAAAGAGCTCATTTACTAAATCCACTAATCTAGTGATTCAGCTGCTAGAAAAAGTTTAAGATCTATTGTGAAGTACTTGGACATAAACCATGCCCTCCTTTACATCCTAACCACCTCAGATTAGGACCAAAGTTTGGATTCACTGCCAAACTTTAGCTACATTTCCCAGATAACAGATCTCTAGCTAATTTGAGAAATGCTGCCCTGTTTAAGAGTTCTGTAAAGAAAACAAAACATGAACTAAGACAAATAGGAAGCTCTGGATCGTCTCACCCTAAAATCCCACTGTAGGCATTCCACCGAAAGGTCTGTTCATGCTGAGTAACATTATGGAAAGGACAAAATTCGTATTTATACCTAAAAGAACAAAATGTTTCAGAGATAAATATTATGGCTTATTTCATCCCCAGACCTTAAAATATAATCAGGAACAGAAATCAGTTACTCACATGGATTCTACAAAACTGAAACACTTGCCAGCAAGTCTGAAGAGATGTACAGGACCTGCAAATACAATAAGGTAACTTACAGGAAAGATGAGGACTTTGTTAAATGCAAAGATATTTGCCATGGCCACAGATTTCAATGGGCATGTTGTGAATATAACATTTTGCTGAGCAGTATGGAAATCAGCACCCAATAAATCTAACTAAAATACTCATTATGCCCCATTACTGTAGAGTACTTGAGTGCCTCGTTCTGGCCCAAAGACCACTTGGGGGTTGTTTGTACCCCAACGTGACAATTTAGGAATATAAACTCAGATTAGGTTCTTCAGACCGTGAATCCCAGTGTCTCAGGTACCCATGTCCATGATTTCAAGCAAATACTGTGTAAAGACCTTAGTTTCCTTGGCTCAGGTTCCTAAACCCCACTCCTGGAGCCAGATGTCACCCTGCCAAAGGACAGCTGCAGATCTGAGCAGAGGTGTCTAACTTCAGGAAATGGCTCAACACCGCGAATCCCAGGTGGAAGGAAGCACCTGCTGACAGCTAGTGTTAGAGAAGCCAGGTTTAAGATGCATCCCTGGTTGTGGCATTCCCTGCTGGCTGGCTTGTGTGGATTTCTTCTCCGCGGGCTTGTTGCTGTGAGGCTCGTTCTGGGATGCCAGATCCTTTCTGCGCGCTGTGTACGGAACCTGCGCACCCAACTCCGCTACAGCGGCAACGCACCCAGCGCTGGGCGCGCAGGTTCCGTACACAGCGTGCAGAAAGGATCTGGCATCCCAGAACGAGCCTCACAGCAACAAGCCCGCGGAGAAGAAATCCACACAAGCCAGCCCCTTTTTGTGAGTGTAGCCCAGTGATTTGCTCAAGGCCACAGAGGAAAGTATTCTAAACACTGAGCATTACACATTTTGAAGTGGTGGCATGACCTGTCGTACCAAAATTATTCATAAAAAATAGGTGGAAAAATATTGTTTTCATAAGGTTCAGATGCATTTTCATGACTGGAACAAGGAGTGCGACTAACCTAGTGGATTTGTGGGCAGGAATACAGGCCATAGTGCATCACCTTGTTAGAGTACTAGGACAGCAGTAATTCAAGAAAATCAAAGCAATTGTGATATGAGCCAGATGAGAAGTTCTCTCTCAATCAAGCTAAGAGCTCAAATGAAATTGCAAAAGCTTTGTAGTTGGTCTTTTTTAAACCATATACAGAGCCCAATTAAGAGTCATCACATACCCATAATAGAACGGAATATCAAAGACATGAAATTAATGGGGTTTTCTTACACATTCAACATACCTCGTCAGCCTTGCCAAGCTTTCCTTCCGTAACGACAAGGGCAACCTAAAGTTACTTGCATCCCACACAGACCCAAAGCAGATTAGGTACACAGAAAAGAAGGGATGCCTGCACACACCTGACATTGGGGAGGGGGCCACCTTTGGCTGGAGCCTGTTTGTCTGAGGTAGGAATGGATTGTTCAATCTTTGGGGGGGAAAAAAGAAAAAAACGTTTATTTCCAGTGAGAGAAATTTCCGAAGCGTTTGTAGCGCCCTGTGCGGTGGCCATTGCCTTAGGAGCCGAGGGGCTGAAACGACCAGGCACTGACCGGCCAGAGCCAAATCATCACAGGGTTGTGTCCGGGGTCGGGGCCCGGCAGCCAGCCCGGCCTCAGCCGGGACCGGCGGATTCCGCAGAGCCCGGCCGACAAGGGCTGCGCTGCGGCCTCCCGGCCTGGCTTCCCGGCACGGGCCCTCCCGCCGCCGCGCCCCAGCTAAGGGGCGCCCGCGAGCGGAGCGGAGCGGCTAGGGGAC